ACCGCTGAGCTACCTCCCCGGCCCCACAGTAATATAATCTTAATGAGTAAATTCATATAGATTTGTAAATGTGACCTTAATTTTCATATGTGGCTGCTGAATCTGCCTTGAATAATCTGTTGACTTGATGATTGCACATACTGGCACTGTTCCTCCTCTCTGGAAGTGGATGTTTTATTTCTGTTATGACTGATGGTAAGATGAGAGGGAACAGGTCATATGCAGACTGAATGGCTTCTGGAGCTAATGGGTCTGAATCCTGTATATTACCACACATTTGTTACATGAGTTGGGCAAACTACTTAACTCCCTGTTTCACTTTTTTTCCTCATAAAAGAGCACTAAGTGGTGTAATGTGCATGTAACAGTGCTATCTTAGCTTGAGCTGCTATAACAAAAATATTAGACTGGGTGGCTCTGACAGCATTTATTTCTACAGTTAGGAAGACTAGCAAAGTTGAGACCAATCTGATTTGTTGGCCAATTTGGTTCCTGGTGATGGCCCTCTTCTGGCTTTCTTGTTATCTCCCCATAGGCTACAGAGATCACCTGTTAACATTTGTCATCTTATTCTTGAGAAGCCTCATCTCCTAATACTACACTGGGGCGTAGAGCTTAAACATTGAGGGTAGAGACACAAACTCAGTTCATAGTTGGTGCCAAGTTCATAGTGACGGCTGATAAATATTAGTCACTATTCTTGAAGTTCCAGTCTTGGTAACAGTCTATCAGACAACACCAAACAATTCTTACTTTTTTACTGTTTGGTTAGTTTCTGCTGAAAGAAACAATAGTTTTAATTAGAGTTACTAAATGTTGGATATTCACCTCAAAACTGGCAGCTAGACCAACGGATCCCAAAAGCTGAGACTTAAAATACTGTTACTCTTCATCCCTTCATTTTAAATAAGAGGAAGAAATGTACCTGAGCTGGGGATTACAACTCACAATCAAATTTTGTTTTGTTTTATTTTTAATGGTAGCAAACTATAAAGGTAGAAAGGCTCCACAGAACGAGTTTGGGTCAAAATGTAGGAAAAGAAGTACACCCTATAGCTTGAGGGTGGACCATCCACGTAAGAGAAAATGATCAATCTTTTGTTTTTGAGACAGGGCCTTGCTCTGTAATTCAAGCTGGCCTTAACTCACAACAATCCTGCCTCAGCCTCTAGAGAGTCTATTTTACTTCTTTGGTTTGGTTTGGTTTGGTATGCTTGCAAGGCAGGCGGTGGCACCACTGAGCTAAATCCCCGGCATGCCTCAGCCTCCTAAATGTTGGGGTTACATATGTGTGCCACCATGTCCAGTTTACAATCAGTCTTAATGGTTGCTGTGCTAAGTATTGGAAATAATAACAAAATAGTAATGCAATAACTTTAAAAATGCAAATTACAAAGATGTTAAAGTAAAGATGCAGGCTAATAGGTTTAGTTAAGTGTAGTCTCTTAGAAGTAGTCTGGCTGCTAGTAGAGTACATCAGTTGTTGCACTCAGGCTTAGCATGTGTGAGGCCCCACTGAACCCAGTGAGGGGCAGTAGTTAATTTGGCCTGTGAAGAAAATACCAATATATGCACAGGAGGAATAAGTCTCACATTGAAGGATCAACTTAGTTGCCAGATCTTAACAAAATTCATTGGATGCTGGCAAGAGTTTAATATGTATAAAAGTCCTTGTTGCAGCCAGGTGCAGTGGCACACACCTATAATCCCTGTACGCAGGAGGACTGCTGTGAGTTCAAGGCCAGCCTGGACTACATAGTGAGACAGTGTCAACAGAAGAATTTATTCTCTCAATTGATCTTTTATTTTGTGATAGGGTCTGACTAGTCCAGACCCTCTCGAACTCACAATGTAACCCAGGATGGCCTTGGAATTGAGATCCTCTGCCTGAGCCTCCAGAGTCCTGGGATTACAGGAGTGTGACATCATGTCCAACTCTCACCTATGTCTGATGGAGCTGAATCAACCTCATTTCTGAGACACTTTTGCAAAACAATACAGTCGTTTCTGGCAATTATTCCCTCAGCTGTTCTCCATTTCTCACGTGAATAACCTGGGTTTTCTCTGTACTTTTTTTTTGGATAGGGGGGACACTCTCTTAGTTCATCTACCCTGTGGTTATAAGTAACACTTTACAGCCTAGATTAATGTCATTACTTCTGATTTGTACCCATAAAGGGGCAGTTGTGGTGAGGCAGTGTTGAGCTACCCTTGGTGCAAAGAGCACACTGCTCCCAGGTCGTGGCAAATGTACAAGTTGGTATATACTGCCATGTTTCTAAAACCTGGCCTGATGAAATAAATAAATAAATAAATAAATAAATAAATAAATAAATAAATAAAAAAAACCTGGCCTGGACACCTACATCTGTTTATGAAAAAACAAGAATGGTTGCAAGGCCCCTTCAGGACACCCTGGCTCTGCAGCACTGCTAAAATGGTGGCATCTCATAAGCACTAGGAGATTATAATGCTTTCTTTCTAACCTCTGCTTACTGGCCAAAATAGCATATGATTCTACATCTAGATGTAATTTAAGAAACTATTCTTGCAGCAGAAGAGATGCATATGTCTATAATTCCAGCATTCTGGGAGGCTGAGGCAGGAGGATTGCAAGTTTAAACCCAAACTGAGCAAATCTGGTGATACGCTGCCTCAAAAAATAAGTTCTAGGGCCAGGATTTAGCTCAGTGGTTCCACCACCTGCCTCACAAGTGCAAGGACCCAAGTTCAATCCCCGGTACCAAAAAAAAAATTCTGAGGGTGTAACCTGGTATGAAGGCCAGGACCAAAAACCCAAAAAAACCTATCCTCTTCCTCTTCTTTCCTCTGTTACTCATAGGCCCCAGCCACTCCACAAAAGCAGTTGCTTTCTCAAGATTTCTTCCTGAATTGGGTTTAGATAGAACCTCTAAACATGAGACAAATGCATATGTTCATATTTAATGCCTCTAATGTGCTAAGACCTGTGCACAAAGCAGTACATCAAGGGCATTCAAAGCTTGTACAATCTACCAGAGGAGGCAGATGAGACTGCCTAGGAATTACATGGTAACTAGAACATAAAGGTAGGTACAGGCTGCATACGGGGCACCAATGCAGGAAAACGGGAAGGCTTCTTGGAGGAAGTAAGTGGAGTTCTAGAGGTAGCTCTCTAGCATGGTAGGAGAAGAGCTATACTGCTAAGATTTTAAATAGAAAAAAAATAAGGGCTGAGAAAGGTGGATGTAATGAGTTTGGTTTAGATGTTAGAGCCCACAAAAGAAACCAAGGAGTGCCAGAGAGCAAGAGGAAAATGGGATAGAACAAAGTTAGATGAAGGGCCAAGTGTGGTGGCGTACACCTGCAATCTCAGCATTCAAGAGGCTGAGGCAGGACAACTGCTGCAGAATTTGAGACCAGCCTGGACTACACAGTGAGTTCAAGGCCAGCCTGAACTACAAAGCGAGACCCTGTATCAAAACAAGCAAACAAACAAACCGATGAAAGTTGCTTGAATTCCTATAGGGAACACATTATAGACTACCAGAAAGAAGAGACTTACACATGTGCTGCTGAGTTAGCAAGAAGGATCACTGATCCCATCACCATTCCAGACACTAAACATTTCTCTAAGGGAAACACTTACCCAGTATTTTCCTCTCCATGGCCCAACTCTAGGGTCTACACACAAGTTATGTTCTCCAGTTTATTTAAGCCATCCACATCTCTACAAAGTCTTAAATTGGGTTCCTAAAACCTAATGATTTTTTCAGTCTGTTTAAAAATTCAGGAGGGGCCAGGCGTGGTGGCACACACCTGTAATCCCAGCACTCAGGAGGCTGAGGCAAGAGGATCGCTGTGAGTTTGAGACCAGCCTGGGCTATATAGTGAACTCCAGGTCAGTCTCAACTACATAGTGAGACCCTATCTCAAAAAGAAAACGAAAAAAAAAAAATTCAGGAGGATTTTCCAGGCTTGTCAACATGTTTCTCTCCTGACCCATTGCAATGCTTACCTTGAAATCCTTTCCTTCCTAGGGAGTAGGCAGAGTCCTCTATAAGCCAGCAAGATGAGAAAGGAAACAGGGTGGAGATCCTTTAAATGCAGCAGGTGCTACTGCAGCTGGCCAGGGACGTGTGTGGAAGGAAAGAGCCTGAGCTGAGGCCGCAGAAGGAATTGGCACCAGTTGTTGAGGTAACTAGACAGCTTAGATTCTAACTCTCACCGATTGGGAATAAGAAGTCATAAAGGGTTTTAAACATAAGTGACATCACTACATACCTTTAGTGTTTCAATGTCTAAACTGTCAAGTCAAACAAAACTTCTGATGTGGTCAAAAGGACGGTTTTGCTGCTGGCTCTGGGAAGGCAAGGCAGAGGATGGTTATGGCAAAATATGGAGGAACATTCAAAGCCAATGAGAGCAAAAGGACACATCGGAATTGTCTTCAGTCCTGTAGTTGGCACTATTCCCACTGGAGATTCTTGCCAGTGGGACTCCAGTCCTGGGCTGAAGAGGAGATCCTCTTTACCCCCACTCTTTGCGTTTAGAAAAAGCCTCAGGTAAACAAAACAACTCAAACACGAGACAGGGTACTACAACCCAGCGGGCCCAGATAAAGATCTGAGGGCCGTGTGTGCGCGTCTAAGATCCGTGGCTCCTTCCACACGCACTTATCCCGGGCCCCTAGAATCCTGACACCGCCTCGCCCGGGGAACAACCTGCCCTCCTCGCCAGCACCCTAACCGTGTCTTCGTCCATGGAATCCCCAGACACCCACCCTGGAACCTTCCCTCCCCTCGGTACAGGAATTCCCAGACCCCTTCCCCCGACTCAGGGATCTCCTAACACACGAAACCCCACACCACCCACCCTGCCCAGAGAACCACTAGCTTCCAGGATCCGCC